AATAAAAGCATAGGAACTATAGCAAAAAAAAACTTCAATTTAATAATCAAAATATTCTATATATCGAGTATAAATATTGTTCTAACGTATACGTACGTATATATTTAATCATAATTTTTTTATTATATGCAAAGATTGTTCACGTTCAAAATTCAACACATATGAATGGAACATTCAAGATGTAAGATGCAAAATATAGCTGAATGGGGCAGTGCACAAATGTAGTGATCTACATCACCAATAAGAATCCTATTCGTAGGTTCCTTATCATACTTTGCCACAAGTTTCTTATGTACCATATTTACTAAAGGCCTACCACAAAGAAGCTAAGTGTGCACAGCCATCATTATGCTCATAAACAGAGAAGATAAAAGCTCAAAAAGTAACTTGGTTGTGGATACAAGATAATCTTTCCTTTTTAATGATCTTCCTATGAATCCCACTCTTAGTGATCTCACTTCCTTGCGTGTCACAAGTCCCAAATTCGCTAACAAACACTTTGCAGTTCTTTTGATGGCATCAGTTGGTGGCTAGCTGATATTTTTAGTCAAATACGCGTAAAAATGGAGGACAGTCGTTAGTTAAACTAATTAAACTCATAATTTTTTTTAATATCTAAGCCAAATATATTATTTTTTTGGTTGAAGTATCAGCTTTCATAATTACGTCTAATTTGTATGTTTTGGATCTTTTAATTAGAACTTAAGCAAGTGATATGCCATCCTTATAATAAATAATATGGATATATTTGAATATTGCAATTCTGTCACTTTGCTACAACATCAGCATATTCTGCATATGCATGACAATAAAAAATAAAAAATATATAACTTACAAAAAATAAGCAATCATGTATATAATTAATAATAATGCCAACTGCGAAATTGCATTGTTGATGGAATTGCTAATATAATAAACTATATAATAAATCACCTTGACACCTTCTACATCGGCAAGATGTTGGTCTCTTACATATTCAATTTGCACTGCTTGTCATTTGGGCAAGTTGTTCATAGGCAATCAAATTGTTTTTTTCATTAATTATTTTCAGTATTGTTTCGGCCTTAAACTCTTACATAGGACAATCAAAATACCGAAACCCTGCAAAATATGAATAATACCAACTGCGCACTGCAAGTACTTTTATCATTTACAATATTTGCACCCATAAGAGGTGGACACGGTAGTATTTATTGTGTTTTTTCTAGTCGCAGTGTACATTAATTTTACGCGCAAAATCATTTATGTAGTGCCTCTTTGGATTTTTATTTTTTTTTAAATTAAAAGCTACTTATAAACATAAGTTAAGAGCCTGCTTGGATCCTCTTATTTTTAAGCTAGAAGCTACTTATATGCTAAAGTTAAAAAAAAAAAAACTTAAAAAAAGAAGCTAAATGCTGTTTGGAAATCACATAAAAAAATTAGCTTAAAAATTACTTAAAAACACATATTTCAAGAAAATTATCTCTCTCTCTATCTTTATCAATCTTCATTTAGAAAGAAGCACACAATTCAAGAAAAACAGATAAGAGCTTGAAAAAAAGCTCCTCCTAGGAGCTTTTAATTTTCAGCTTTTTCTTCGTTATAAAAAAAGAGCTTTTCGTTATAAGAGTTTTTTTTTTTGCCTAACTTATGCTTATAAGTAGCTTCTAGCTTAAAAATAAGAGGATCCAAGCAGGCAGTAAGTCAAACAGGTTTTTGGAAAAAGCTCTTATAACGAAAAACTCTTTTTTTTATAATGAAGAAAAAAGCTGAAAACTAAAAGCTCTTATAACGAAAAACTCTTTTTTTTATAATGAAGAAAAAAGCTGAAAACTAAAAGCTCTTAGGAGGAGTTTTTTTTTTAAACTCTTATCTGTTTTTCTTGAATTGTGTGCTGTGCTTTTTAAAAAAAAATGAAGAATGATAAAGATAGAAAGAGACAATTTTTTTGAAATATGTGCTTTTAAGTAATTTTTAAGATAAATTTTTTATATAATTTTCAAACAACTTTTAGCTTCTTTTTTTAGCTTCTTTTTTTAAACTTTTTTTTTTTAACTTTAACTTACAAGTAACTTCTAACTTAAAAATAAGAGAATTCAAACGGTCTCTTAGCAATTAACTTATGTGAACCCAGCAAAACTATGATAGCTTTTCGCGCATAGATGATTGAATAGAATACAACCTTCTGTTTATATCTTTTCTATTCCTTTTGATGAAATTAAAATATATTATTTTTTAAACTTGTTATGGAGTTATATATATAAGGTCTATTTATCACTAAGCCCAATAAAGAGCAATCTAAATATAAATTTGATATAATTAAGGGGAGATATTCATTAAGAATATCAATCCTAATACGACAGTAGTATAAATAGGCTTGGGCTGCTACGAAAGGCATAGAAGTTCCTGATTCAATACCTACAGATAAACTCTATAAATAAGAGGTAAAGTCTACAGGTATGACTACTCTCTTTTACTGTTATGCTGTCACAGTACACACACACCACCCATTTGACGAAAGCTGTTCATTATTCTTCTGTGCACAATAATCTATTTGACTCAAGGATATTTAACTCATAGATACTTTAGAGAGGACACCTAGATTCAAAAGTAAGATACTAATTTATTGGGTTAGACATCTCTGTCTTCAGGATATAACAAAACTTTATTTATGTTCTATTTTATTTATAAAATACATCAAATATAGACTTAAACTCCTATATTATGTTTCTACTTGTTGTAATACGTCTACCAAACACTATTTGCATACTAGCTATAATATTGAAACCCTTCTCCTTTTTTTTTCACAACTTCTCTTTATTTAGTAAGATATGAGCATTATTAATTATAAATATTTTAATATTTTTTATGTGGCTTTTATTAATAAATATTTCACATATTCAAATCATTCTTCACCGGAATAAATATAATTTAACCATAAATTCTTTTATTTCTTAGTTATTAAACATATTCATGATTAAAAATTAAGATTTACAAAGTTAACTTATTTTTTATTGAAATTTACTTTTTGAGATTATTTTTTAAAAACGAATTAATGTCAAGCTTTTAAAATCAAGCAGCATCATGTACTTTTTTTACCTATAATTAAAATAAGATAATATAGAAGCTTCCACTAAATTTGGGCAAATAAAATACATTTGCTACCACAGCACCCAGAGGCACAGGACATCTACTTGAATATCGGTGTATGCATTTTGAAATTTAACTTTGACTTAACACTGAGTACTAACGCTTCATAATTGCAACTTACTATTGTTTGTCCAGCAAAACGTGTCGACGTGTTCAATTTATAATATTGTGTTAATTAAGGTCTGATTTGCAGGATAAAATGTCATATAAACTATATGTTTTTTTTAGCGTAGAGATCTATAAGCTCATTATGTTCTTTTCAGGGATGAGTCACTGTATAGATAATACCCTTAACACAGGTACAGACCAAACTAAAAGGTACTTTGTCCAGTATAAGCAATCAACAATGGATAAGTAAGCGATAATATGACTCAAAGTAGATGGGCAGAATAACGATACATAAGATACCTTCATGGTGTGCCCAAGCGGGCTATTTATAGGGAAAACGGTGTGGGTTGGCATGGAGGGAGTCAACCCTCCTTGGGATTTACTCCCATAGTGACAGTGTTTGGCGTGGCAGGCACTGTTGTTGTAGCAGCGCTGCGCCTTCTGTGCCTGGCGATGTCAGCGTCGGGCAAAGGGGCAGTTTCCCTTTAGGATGCCTGTGACAGTCACCTTTGGGGGTTAAGGTCCCAAGATGGGACATTTTGGTGCTTCCTCTTGGACGCGTCGCAGTATTGGGAAATGAGAGGGTTCACGTCAGCCCTAAGGGCTGATGTGGGTTAGAGCCTGGAGTTGGGTCTGAGCCATTGAGCCGCTTAGTAGTTGGGCCATCGGGAAGACAATTTAATTATATATGATCCAACAACATTTGAAGACCTTCCTCAATAACAAGGCGCATCTCTGAAGACAATAATAGTTCAGTACAATTGCAAGCCATAATAGAAGATTTTCTTGAAGTACTCAAGCATCGCCAACCAGGAAATTCATAATCGATGACAACAAATAAACAAGACATGAAGGCCGACATATTACCAAACGGTTACATTATATCCTGCTTAGAATACTACACACTACGGGTATCCGGCCTAAGTTGCCATATATTTTGGCACCTTAACTCCCTCAAGCTACCAAGCCGGGGACTCCTAAAATGTCATATGAACTATATGTTTTTAGACACTGGTCAAAAATTAAAATTTATATACTATTTTGATAGGGTCATGGCTTGACATGAAAAATTAAAAAAAGAATTATTTCTTTTAATAAAATAACAAGGAAAACTAAATAAATTATGTGGACTGATATGTGACTTGCAATAAATTATGTGACCCGCTAACTCACTTTAAAATGGAATAGGTTAATATTTTTAACCCATCGATTTAATAATAAATGATGAATGAACTCGTTCTGCCTCATTTTTTATAGGTTAAAGGTGAATCGGAATGGTTTGACCTATTTCGCCATATCGGGACCACCACAAAAGAAAATTCACTCTACCGCGCATGTGCATAGAGATATAATTAACTTTTTTTTTTTTTTAATATCGAACGGATATAATTGTAGCTTGAAATCTTCAGATGCCTAGGCTGAGGCCGAGACCCAAGTTCAAAGACCATCCTAACCAGAAAAGGTTAACCAATGTGTCATATTTGACACAGATCGGACGGCGTAGATTATAGATTACGGTAAAGCGGAAAACAGAGGTCTCGTAACAAAACCACGTGTCATTCATTCCTGGGACTTGACAACTGTAATTGAGTCTTTTTTTTTTGGAAATAAACTGTAATTGAGTCTTTTCGTACACCTCCAACTCCAAGCACCAGGATCTTCTCCTGTCACCAAATCAGACATTATAAATAAAGTGAACTAAAAAATTTCGCACCAGGACATTTCAGTAATTTGAGACAGACGCGAAGTGAAGTTGAGAAAGGTCGTGCAAAACGACGACGGTTGAGGTCCACGCCGACGACCCCACACAAGATTATCCCAATCCCATCCCCTCAGTTCGTTCACATTCCTACACCTCTCTGACCGTCGTTTCTCCCCACGAATAACCGGGTCCTACCTTATCACCACCGACAGTCACCAATACGAATCTGAACGCCCTGTGATTGTAGCCCACCCCGGATACCAAAGCCACCATTCACAGCAAAAACCAGCCATAATAATAATAATAATAATAATAATTAATAACTAATAATAAATAAACTCTTAATCTAAATCTTCTTCTTCTTCTTTATTATTCGTCATCTCCAATTTGGCGCAGTCTTCACTCACTTTCCCACTATGAAACTCCCCTGAGAGTTCAGAAATATCAAAATATCAAAACCCTAATCCACAACCTCTGCACGTGGAAGCTTCGAGAATGGTTTCGTTAGAGGATTCTCGTTCCAATTCGAACCGTTTCCCCTTATCGCGAAGCTATCAGTATTTTTCATCCAAAACGCAGCGACATACCGGAAGGTCCATGCGCACAATACGCTCCAATTTCTTCCAAGACGACAATAGCAGCTGCTCCTTCACCGTCACCGAGAAATCCATGTGTCTATCGGAAAACCTCACCGACTCCGTCGTCGACCTCCGTCTCGGCGAGCTCGCATCCAAGAACAACAAATCAGTCAAGCACACCGCCGCGGAGGAGAACCTCCTCGATCTTTCCCAGGCCTTCAGTGATTTCTCCGCCTGCAGCAGCGACATCTCCGGCGAGCTGCAGAGGCTGGCGTGCTTGCCGTCTCCGGAATATGTGCAGAAGAGCCACACCGGCGACGAAGTCGAGAAGGAACCGGAACCGGAGCCTTGCATGGGGTTCCTGCAGAGGGAAAATTTCTCCACGGAGATTATTGAGATTATTTCGCCGGAGGATCTTCAGCCGACGGTGAAGCTTTGCATCGACGGGCTCCAGTCGCCGTCGGTCGCCGTTAAGCGATCTGCGGCGGCGAAGCTGAGGCTGTTGGCGAAGAACCGCGCCGATAACCGAGTTCTGATAGGTGAGTCCGGTGCTGTTCCTGTTTTGGTTCCTCTGCTTCGGTGCAGTGATCCGTGGACGCAGGAACACGCCGTGACGGCGCTGTTGAATCTCTCTCTGCATGAAGACAACAAGATGCTGATAACCAATGCTGGAGCGGTGAAGTCGCTGATTTATGTGCTGAAGACTGGGACGGAGACTTCGAAGCAGAACGCGGCGTGCGCGTTGTTGAGCCTTGCGTTGGTGGAAGAAAACAGGAGCTCGATCGGTGCTTCTGGGGCGATACCCCCTCTGGTTTCGCTTCTGTTGAACGGTTCCAACAGAGGGAAGAAGGACGCTCTGACGACTCTGTATAAGCTGTGTTCCGTGAAGCAGAACAAGGAGAGGGCGGTGAGCGCAGGGGCGGTGAAGCCTCTGGTGGAGCAGGTGGCGGAGCAAGGGACGGGTATGGCGGAGAAGGCAATGGTGGTGTTGAACAGCTTGGCGGCGATTCAGGAAGGGAAGGATGCGATAGTTGAAGAAGGTGGAATAGCTGCTCTCGTGGAAGCGATTGAAGATGGTTCGGTGAAGGGAAAGGAGTTTGCTGTTTTGACGCTTCTCCAGCTCTGTGCTGACAGTGTGAGGAACAGAGGATTTCTTGTGAGGGAGGGTGGGATACCTCCTCTGGTTGCTCTTTCCCAGACTGGTAGTGTTCGAGCTAAGCACAAGGTCAGTCCCAAGTTTTGGTCGTATTGGACTCAAAAAATTTGCTGCAAATATTTATATTGTAGTCTGGTTCTGATATTTTGAGTCCTTATCTATGTTTTCTTATCTTGAAATATTGTGACTCTCTTATTCCTCTCCTCATATGCATTTACACATCAAAGGGTTTTAAGTAATAAACCGTGACAAGGGTCTTCTGTTAGCCAACCTTTGAATGTCAATTAGCTTGCCTAGATAACTGTCCTGTCAGTATGAACATCTGGGACTGGGATCATAGGAAACGTCCTTAAAGATACGTAATCTTCTTAACGAATTTGTTAAAATACTAATTTGAATGAAAAGTTGAAGTCATTAACCCTTGATTCTTTCCTTGGTCAGTATTATGCATGCCATGTAAATAATTTTCAATGATGGGGTGCTGCATGTTTTAAATTTTCTTTTTCTTTCATTGCATTTATTGATTTACCTTAAAGAACAGACCTGGACACTGCATAGTTAGAAGAGAATCAACATCTTGCTCTTTATATTTTCTCTTCCTTTCCGCCTTCCTTTTGTTGAAGCTTCTGGTTTGTTTTGCAGGCTGAAACGCTACTTCGATATTTGAGAGAATCAAGACAAGAAGCATCATCTTCAAGTTCTTAGAGAAGTAATTACGTTACTACGTAGGAAGGTAATTATACAATGTAATTGGTTATTGTATATATAATGTTTTTTCTGATTTGTATAGTTGGAAGGATGTTTATTGAAGTTAGAAGCTACCGAGCTATAGACTGACCCTTAGATGGATCGATATAGCTAGGTTTGGGATTTTGCTTTCCCTTTTTTCAATTGGTTATGGTTACTAGTTACATGGTTGTCTTTGAGTTTTGGGTTTGATTAGGTTTTTAAATTTCTTTTCTTTAGATGACCCTAGTTTTGTGAAAAGGGTTTCTGATTGTATCTTTGTTAATTTTCCCGCTCGTAGCTAAAGTACGGAGCTTGTACTACACTACTAGTTGTAATATGTTTGTGTCCATAATTTCTTTTTGGTCAAAATGTAGCTTGAGTTTCGTATATTTGATACCGCTGATTAAATCGACTCCCTCTGTTTCCATTGGATTTCCCTTTGCCTTAATTACCCCGTGGATATAAAATTCAACTGAAGTGTGGTGTTTTTGACGGTTCAACTGTTACTCTGCAAACGTACACATTTTTTATACTCAGGGAAGGACCTCAGTTCATTTCCACCAATCCTATTCTAAGGAGGAGTATAAAATCTTAATTTTTAACCTGTCTTGTACTCAAAATTAGTTTTAAATCGATTCAAAGAATCAAAGTTTGTGGAGATAATTGGGGAAGTTTACTTGCCTTAAAAGATAATTAGGGTTGATATTAAAAAAAAAAAATCCTTATTTCATAGTACTTCGCCGCGAAATTTTGGAATATGGTTAGCTGGAAGGTTGTGAAAGGAAGTATGGAATATGTTCTTTGCTAAAGTTTGCAGAAGTAGGTAAACCAGCAACTTGAATGGTATCGAGAATTCTCTGTAACGTGGCGATATTCAAACAATTTCTTACCAGACAATTGAAATTTGTAAGAATTCTGAAAAAGACAAAGGAGTATTCAAAAAAGTAAATCATGAGTCAGATAAATTCATTTAAGAGTTCCCCTTTTATCTTTTTCCAGCTGGTGAAGGACTGTTTAGATTGTGCACGTTATCTTAGTGGAAGATCTTCATCCAGATCGACAGAAATGTTGGTAGGTGTAAAATTGGGTATAGGGGACTTGTTTAGGCGGGTGTTTCTATGAATAAATGGGATGATGATGCTGTAGCCTGTAGGTCCCTCGGACTGCTTGTCCTCGTTGTGAAGCGGCTTACCCATTGCATGCTAGGTTCCAAGTTGTGCACCTGTATAGAAAAATCAGAGCCCCACCTTTCGGATTAACTCCACCACAGATTGCATCATTTTTGTAGTACAAATTTCCTTATCAAGTATCTTAGATCTTTATTTTTCTTTTCTTTTCCCCTTTCAAATCTTCTTGTCGCTTATAATAATCATCAATTAGCTGGCAGAGCAGGTAAGTTTTGTCCTGCCGTTTGTTTGTTTGGATAGTTGCACTTTCAAATCGTAAGTTGTGAATTACCAGGTGTCGGTGTTCTCATATTTCGTTCATTTAAAAGTTTTATATATATGGAGAGGATTTTTTGAGTCGTTTTACTCTTTATTTTAATCTGATTATAATTTATTAGAGATTAATAATTAATTAATAAATATAATTTGATAAATTAGCCCCCCCGCCGCCGCCGCGTCATATGTATAGATTATTCCTTTATATATATGCACTATCAAAAGTCGAGAGATGCTAAAGTATGAAGCTTCTTGGGACAAAGAGATACTCACAAAGGTTGTTGAATTCTCACGTCTTCTATAACTGTTCAGCTACCTAAAGAATTTTGCTGAACTTCTACTCCAAGTTCAGACTAGTCATTTCTACATCTACATAATAACATAGAGAAAATGAAAATAAAAATAAAAACTAGTAGTTAGAAGAGAATCAGACTGTCAGTATTTAGCCATAGTTTTGGACACCATGAACAATATTTAATTCTTGACTTATTCGATTTTTTTAACTATAAAAGTTTAGCATTTAATAATACTCATAAATTAGTTCTATTTACGGCAATATATATTAACTAAGTTTTCCACTAATTCTACCACTGTTATATATTAAGAGGATGCTTAAGAATGATTAATTTTCTTGAAGAAATTTTTTAGTTGTTTTTAGTAAATTACATTATGGTTAGTATTATCGTTTGAAATTAACTGGGTATCATTTATCATACAGTGAAAAATTACTTCTTTAAAAGCTAGGATTTGAACATTCTATTTATAATATGGTTATTTCATGGGTAGGAGATATTTATCCCAATTAAATAACTTTTTCAATTAATAAATGTCTATTTTGATAATTTAATACATAAAAATAATTTTTATACAAATAAAACAAAACTCTACATTTTAAAACAGATTATGAATTGACATATTTAGTATAAAAAAATGAATTGACATCTAAATAAAAATTATATAATATATATATATATATATATATATATATATATATATATATATATATATTAACATGATCATATTCTTATTGACACTTATCCAAATTATCGAAAATAAAAACATATAATATATGTTGATTCAGCCATTAAGCCTACTTTCACACTGATAATTTTCTCCCTCTCTCAATGATAGTTACAGAAAGGGGTTTCCTTCAATATAAAAAATAGGGGATACAATAATTGGATCAAATTATTTTACCTACAATCAAAGATATCAGATAATTTGTTGCCCTCTTCATGGGCTATATTTGGTATATGATTACAATCAATCAAATCCCCCATTTCATTGTCATTTCTCTTGCGTGAGGATGTGTGTTAAAGAATAATATAAACCATTAAAAAGGTCTCACCCAACACCTTAAAATTTTGGATTGAAATGGTTCTTTACAGTTAGGTTTTTTATTACCTGGAATATGTGAAGGGATGGAACCGTTTGTTCTGTTTAAGGTTTGTGTCTGATCTATTTTTGAACGCTGAGGTTCCCTTTTTCTGCTTGGTCTTTTGGGTGTCTTTGATTAAGGAATGGCATGCGAAATTGTCAATGCTGAAAATACGTGTCTCTAATTATTATCTCATGTATGTGTTGAGAAATCTAATCAAAATTTCATTGTCATTTCTTTTGATCACTAGGTTTTGAGCAATCAAATCCCCAAGTTTATCTCCTTCGATATCTTCAACACTCTCCTTCCAAGTTGAGGTGAAGATGTCAATCAAGCCCATCTTGGTAATGATGTTTTCAGATAAGTTATTAGGAAGAGCCTTTGTGAACATGTCTGCTAATTGGTCTTCATTTCAAATATATGATGTCTCAATTATCTTAGCTTGAACATTTACTCGAACAAAATGGCAGTCCACTTCAATATGTTTAGTTCTCTCCAGAAACACTGGATTGGATGCAATATCAATAGTTGCTTGGTTATCGCAGTACAACTTAATAGGAAACTTTATATTTTTTAAGGTAAAATCAAACAAGAGATCTTTGAGCCAAATAAGCTCACTGGTGGCTGAGGCCATAGCACGATATTCAGCTTCTGCACTGGAACGAGCTGCTACACTTTGTTTTTTATTTTTCCAAATAACAAGGTTGCCCCAACAAATATGCAGAAACCTGAGGTAGATCGTCTGTCATGAGGGCTACCAGCCCAATCAACATCAACATACCCTACAATATCGTGTGGCTATTCATTTTCAACCATATGCCTTTTGCTGGACAAGACTTCAAGTATCTAAGTATCCTATCTGCTAAAGTTATGTGATTTTGTGTTGATTTATGTAGGAATTGACTAACGTAGCTTACCGGATATGAGACCTTATGTCTGGTTATGGTGAGATAGATCAACTTGCCAATAAGTCTCTGAAATTGTCTTGGGCTAGGTAGAAGAGTGAAGTCTTTTCAAACTTATTGTTATATTCCATTGGAGTATCAACCGGTTTAGATGCCAACTTACCAATCTCCTTCAAAAGATCCAGTACATATTTCCTTTGTGAGATAAACAACCCTTTATTGGATTTTGCAATTTCAATTCCTAGGAAATACTTCAAGCGTCCCAAGTCTTTAATGTCAAAGGTGATATTGAGATCTTTAATTTATCAATCTCAATCATATTCCTCTCGGAGATAACTATATCATCTACATAGATAAGGACAACAGTAGTGTTTCCAGCCCAGTGTTTAATAAATAAGGCGTAATCTGATTTGCTTCTGAAGAACTCGAAAGTGGTGAGTGCCTTGCTCAACTTTGCATACTAGGCATGGGGAGATTGCTTTAAACCATAGATTGCTCGCTTTAGTTTGCAGACTTTGCCAGACTGAGAATCAAGAGGATGACCTAGAGGTATGTCCATATAAACCTCTTCTTCAAGTTCTCCATACAATAATTGGGTCAAATTATTTTGCTCACAATCAAAGAGATCAGATAATTTGTTGCCCTTTTCATGGGCTATATTTGATACATGATTACAATCAATTATTTCCCCTAATCTATCTCCTCTGATATCTTCAACACAAATATGTACTAAGTTTTTCACTAATTTTACCCTAAAAGAAAAGAAGATGAATATGAGAAACACAAATGTTAGTAATAGAATTCTTTGACATTCTCTTTTCGACTCTCTTTACTTTTAAGTAAAACTTGTGTGGATTCTATTAAATAATATAAGTTCACTTTGTGTTAATGATACTAGTATGAAATGTTGTAGTGTTATAGAGTGTTCAAGAAATATAGTATTAACTAGCATTCTTAAAGACTAATTGATCATAGCACTAAGTCATGTCTTGCTCTTTTCCTTTGTTATTCTTTTTTTCCTTGATAAATGAGAAAGGTTTGAAACCCTTCTGAAGTAATTTCTTGTCCTCCTCTAACTCGCAAATTTAGTTTGCAATAAAAGCTATTAATAAGATTTTAATAATTTAGTCTTCCTACTTCCTAATCAATCATATTTTTTTTAAGGGATGAAACAAATATTTTTAAAAGCTATTAATAATTCGCAAATTAATTTAAGGTAACCGTTTTTAAACGGATGTGTGAGGGGTGCAGTGGGATTAAGTTTCCACCTTTCCTTGCGCATAATTAGACTCCCGAACCTTTGATCTATAATTTTAAAGACCAATTTGCAATAAAAGATTTTTCAATTTTTCCAAAGTAAATAAAATTGGTGGCGACTCTATTGCTTTAATTTTTTAATTCGGGTCGTTACAAACGTCATTTTAGGAGTAAATGTAGATAACTTATCTGCATTAACTGCAGAAATATTTTTCTGTTTATATAATGACTATAAAATGAAAAATAAAAATCCAAAATTAAATTGTGTTGGACCCGCATAATATCTGGATGTGTTCATATAACGACCAGAAATTTAATTTAAAAAATAAAAATATGACTTGAATTTATAGTGCATTGCGCGGGGTTTGAACCCCTATTTTTTTCCCTTACATTTGTATTTATTAACCCCTATATTCCTATTTTCATTATTCAGCTTGTTATGATTATCTCATTTATTGTATGGCTTGTTCATGTATTTAAATTGTTGGTAGGAATTGCGAGGATGGCCACATGCAAGGGACTCACTAGGAAGGGGAAAGGAATAAGAAAGAAAGAAAAAAACATAATTCGATGCGTGGTTAAGAGAACATGATTCTCATTATTAAATTCTTTAAAATTACCCCGGTCATTATAAGGCTTGTTTACCCATTTTGTTGATAAACATTTTAGTATTTTAATAGTGAATAGCGGTTTCTTAATATTCTATGTTTACAAATAGTAAATAATGAGATAAAGATATTATTTCCCTTAAACCAAACGAACACAGCAAGCAGGGCATCTGAAAATAAGGATTACAATTTGAACTGTTGTAGGGAAAGTTTTTTTAGAAGTGAAATTAATAAAAATAGGCATAAAACAAGGGCAAGCTTACGGTGTGCCTTTCCTTACATATAGCCAGCTGTATGAATTGTTAAATAGGAATGTTTTAAGGTGGTGTTTAGTTGGGAGCTTTTTAGCATATATCTATCTTTCTCAAGTATGGCTTTTAGAAATACCATGTTTGTTTCAACATTTTTCACCAAAAACTCATCTATCCAATTTGTCTGAATTTATGAGAAACATAGATATCCGCACTGTTTAGAAACCCAATTTGAAGGTGAGATTTTTCGAAAAACCGATTATCTGACTTTTAATGCAAGGGCAAGCTTATGGTGTGCCTTTCCTTACATATAGCCAGCTGTATGAATTGTTAAATAGGAATGTTTTAAAAGTTTGTTTGGTTGTGAGCTTTTCAGCGGATATCTATCTTTCTCAAGTATGGCTTTTAGAAATACCATGTTTGTTAACGTTTTTCACCAAAAATCCATCTATCTAATTTGTCTGGATTTACGAGAAACATAGATATCCGCACAGCAATATTAAATAAATTGGCTGTAAAAGGTTCTTAAAAGTTTCTCTCTTCTGTGAGCTGGCATGCTCTTTAATTGAATCAGTAATATTAAATAAAAAACCAAACAATCTGTCAAGAATGGGATTTGAACCCATGCCCTTTCGGACCAGTACCTGAAACTGGCGCCTTAGACCAACTCGGCCATCTTGACCACTGCTAAAATTCAGCGTAAGTAATATATAGTTCTTATGGAAATAGCTGTTATTTCTGTCCACTCGATGGACTCTTCTTTGGTATATATTCTGCTTTAATTTTGATACAAAATTCTTGAAAGTGTTTTGGTTTTTTTGTTTTGAAAACTATTTTATAAAATAGTTTTTAAGAATTGATTTTCAGAGCTAGAAAAGAAAAGATTCTGTTTGGTAAATTAATATTGAAAAGAGTTTTAAAAATTATAAAACTAAAAAACTTGTTTGTTATATGTATTTTAAGAATATGTTTTTAAAGTAAAAAGACAAAAAGCCTGTGTCATTGATGTATTCAAACAAATTGCAATTAGCGAATGTCGAAATCACTTGATATATGAGAGTGGTTTATTATTTACAATTGTGCCATTAATGAGAACAACTTGTTCTCCACCTTTTCATTCTTTTAAGAATAGAAACTCAAAACAAAAACACCTATAAAATGTTTTGTAATTTCAATTTTAAAAGTTAAAAAACAGATACTGTTTTTAGAATAGGTTTCATAAGACACCTTCTATCAAACAAATTTTTTTATACTTTTGTTTTTAAAATTTAAAAACTGTTTTCTAAAACAGTTATCAAACAGGCCCTAACTCTACAAGACACCTTTTTCAAAAACAGTTATCAAAAAACCTGTTTTCAGAAGACACCTTTTTATTATTTTTTTTGTGTTCCTTCAAACTTCAAGACAATGATCTTCACTGAATTTAAATTTTTGGAAGTCTTGTAAATATTTTCCATCGTACAAAATACTTTTTTACTTTTCTTTTTTGGGTTTTTTTTTTTTTTTTGATAACATTCTTTTTTGGGTTTTACACGAAGTGATCACATCTTTGGAATATATGAGACTAATTCTTCCTTGACATTTGATGGCATAGCTCTACATTAAAATTTATTTGATTATTATGTTAATATTTTAATTTTAAATTTTGCCTCTGAATTTATTTAATTCAATGATATAATCAATATCCGTATTCAAATATAATATAAATAAAGGGTTTGATGTTTGTCATTTTAAATGACATAAGTTATGTCATTTTAAGAGAGAGATAGACACAGAAAAATAGAAATCATGGGAGAGAGAAAGTAGATGATTTTTTTAATTTAAAATTTAAATAAAATTTGTTTTTCTGTGTCTGTCTTTCTCTTAAAAGGACAGAGTCTCATTTAAAATGACAAACATTTTTCCATAAATAAAATAATAATCTTTTGTTTTAATTCGTTGAATTACATATTTATTAAAAAAAGAATTTTTTGTAAATTTGAACGAATTATTTTGTGCATTGCAGAAAAAACACACAGATGATAAACCAATGAAAAAACTTATAAAAAACTTATAACAGAGGAAAACCATGATTGAATTAGGAGGCAATGGTTGAATCTAACAAAGGCCACGTTGTGTTATCCAAAAAAAAAAAAAGGCCACGTTGTAGGCTTTAGAAAATTGCAATAACTCAACCTTAATCATTTTTGGGCCTGGATTTTTTTTTTTTAAAGTTAGAAACTACTTATAAGCTAAATCTAAAAAAGAAAGCTTAAAATAAAACTAAAACCTGTTTAGTAATCACATAACAAATTTAGCTTAAAATTTACCTAAAAGCATGTGTTTCAAGAAAATTATCCCTCCCTCTATCTTTATAACTATTTATTTGAAAAAAACATACAATTCAAGAAAAACAGATAAGAATTTAAAAAAAAATTCCTCCTAAGAATTTTTAGTTTTCAGCTTTTTCCTTCATTATAAAAAAAGAGTTTTTACCAAAACTTGTTTAGCCTAAATTATGCTTATAAGTAACTTATAGCTTTTAAAAAAAAATACAAACAGTCACTCAATCTCTCTCTCTTTTGAGAGGGCATATCATGAATGTAAATTGTAATGTGTAAGAATTTTCTCTCAAATTAATTATACTATTATCTAACAAAATAAAAACCTATATAAAATAACAATAATATTGTTCTGGATTGGAACTTGTATACTGACCCAGGATTCAAATTAATTACATCGATTATCGCTACAAGAAGATTCTATGATTAGGACAAGATGGATCTCATACCAGTTCAAATATATATATATATATATATATATATATATATATATATTATAATATATTATAAGGGATGTTGAGATATATACTCCCACATTGGTTGTATGTGCAACTAATGTGAAGTTTATAAAACCTTGGGCACTCCTACCCTTTGAGCTAGCCTCCACTTTCTCTTGTGGTGTTTCTTAGCACAAGTAGGCTGAACCTGTTGCATTGTCCACTCTTCAGCCCAATGGGCACTCCCACCCTTTGAGCTAGCTTTTGGGGTGGTGTATCCCAAGTTCTTTACAATAGAAAAACTATTCTTATGTCACATGACATAAGTTTTCTCTACTACACACCATTCGATAACTGTGTCACCTTTTTCTTTTCTTTTATTTTATTTTTTCAGGTGGTGGAGTCCACTAATTTGTCTCTATGACATGAGATAACTATCTCCTTTAACATGAGATTAATAAAACCTATATTATCGGATTTAATTTTCTCATGTTACATAAGAATTGAATTCTTATGCTATGACTCAACTAACGATGGATCCCACATTTATTAAAAAGAGAAAAAGAAAAAGAAAAAGTGCAGCAAATAGAAAGATCACGACACGAAAATTGAATTCCTATACGTGAGAAAATATTTTTCCTTTCTTATATCAAGTGATTCATACCTCATGCTTATACTTCCAAAGGGAGAAAAAAAATATAACTACCATTTTCACAGACCAAATGCCACAGCCCCTTTTGCCAGGTATATATAATAGAGTAAATGAATACTTACAGAAGAAAAAAAAAAGAAAAAAAAAATCCCTCTCAGGAAACTAATGCATACCAATATACCATTTCAATGATGATGGAATCATTTTAATTTTAAAAATATAAGAACACATTCAAGATATTGTCTAAATAGAAATGTCATCTTGGATCAATTCCAAAGACACTATTATAGGAAAGGAATAATTATTTTAACATATCTGTCAAGTTGGAATAAAAGCAGAAGATCAATCATATACAATTCATAAATGAAGCCTATACCAGCACAAGAAAAAAAAAATTGTATTGTGTAGAAGATGAGTCAGCTATTATTTTATGGATCCTAGATGACCATCCAATGATAATATCAGAGAGAAATCAACCATGTATCTCTCAACACTCAACAGACTGAAAAAGCAAAATACTGAAAAGGAGATAAATAGAAGATACTGGCCAAGACAGGCAACATGGTCCAACTCTACTGCCAGAAGAGGGGGCAAGGAAGAATAGTTTAAAAAGGGGAAAAATAACAAAAAAAGAAAGGGAAGCTATGCTTGTTTTGTATATTGCTCTGTCATTGGAAGTGTTCATCATATGACATTTCTGACAAACTCCATAACCTGATTATAAGTCTCTTAATCCCAAAGAAAGAAAACCTATATTCCACTCAAGCTTAACCTTTAAAGTAAAGCCCTTGTAAGTGCTATGTATTCGGAAGTTATTCAACACAGCCAAACCAACTATCTCTAATGAAATTTTAGAAGCACTGAAGTTTCTCGAAAAAATAAAATTTATGCTTTCCACATTCATCCACCTTCTGCACTAGACATACTTCACTGAAACATCAGAGCATTCATGGCATAACCTTCCTAGGCAGCAATTCCTGAAACAAAACATGTCCAAAATCATATTAATACATGCAAGCTTTGTATTGCCATAATTTCTGATTCAAATAAAAGAACATATGTAATTAATCACACATACAGTAAATTAATTGGAAATGAAAGGGAGTAAGCAATAATAGTCAATTACAATTTGAATTCTAGACTCCATAATATCTCATTTCCCCAACCATCCCATGTTCTAATGAAACTAGTAAATTCACTAGGATCACAATATATCTATACATATATATATGCTAGAATCACTGACAAGACCCTAGAGGACACAACCACAATCTGTGAGGTGAATATATAACAAAGAATCTTCTTTTATTATAATGTTAATGTTTTGAGCTTTAATCACATTTCAAAACTAAGCATGAATTAATTCAGATATACCAAGGTATGTACAGAACTTAAACAATGATGAATTTTTTTATTTTCAAATGTAATAAAAGAGAAACACATTCCATATTTCTACCTCTATTTGATTGTCTAGTGGCAACAGTATAAGCCCCAATGTGACCAGCAGAGCTTTTGCTCATTAAATCTGAAACAGCATTTTCAAGATCAAAACTAAGAGAGCCAGAATCCTCCAGTTCTGAAGTTGATGATCTCCAAGCATGGTCCCAATAAAATGACCCAGCTTCATAAGTATCTTTGTATGCCTCATCATAACTGCCATTTGATAAAGCGAATGATGAAGCTGATGCAATAATGCTGTCATTGCTTTTTCCATAACCTATGGTTTTTGACCCCAAAATCACATCTCCAGACCTATAATTAAGATTGCCCTTACCATATCCAGAGCCAATAGTTCCAGCTTGATCAATACCAAGGGAGGAACTCCAAAGTGATCCAATAGTACCTAAAGAACCCATACTTGAATTTTCACTTCCATAACCAGCAAAACCATCAGAGCTTGTAGGGTTAGTAACATAGTTGAGATTCCTATTCCCCCACAAATTCTGACTTATTGAACTTATGGTTGAATTGTTGCCAGCGTTTGTACCAGCATACCTCATGGCATTATTGTACCTGCTCGGACTTCCACTATACGAATAGTTCAATGCCCGTTCTATGACAAAGTTAGATGGAAAGTTTGCATTTTCATTTTGGCTCAATGGTGGCTCAAAATTGAGTCCTGTACCATAACTAGGACTCAAAAGAGGATATCCACTACGGCCAACAGCAACAGGACTCAATCTAGCATCTATTCTAAGCCCTCCAACCAGGCTTGGATTATAACCTGGAATGCAACCATTAGGAAAGCTACTAACTCTACTTATACCATAACTATATCCACCTAACTGGCCTCTGCTTGGACCTGGAGATAATTCCTTTGGAACAGCCCTCTTAACCTCAACCATTTTACCATTCAATTCATGAAAGGTATTGCATAGCACTTTATCAACTCCTTCCTCAGAATCATACGTGATGAATCCAAAACCTCTAGGCCTTTGGGTGTTATGGTCATACATCACGACAACATCTGTAATTGTTCCAAATTGATCAAAGTACTTCTTAAAGTCACTCTCAGTAACTGTGGATGCTAGACCTCCAACAAATATCTTCTTAGTGCGTGTAGGAGCAGGACCAGGCGACCCATGAGTGCTACTGTTGCTTCTGTTCAGAACATTCAGATCATCTCTGGGGACAGCCTTTTTTGCTTCAACCTGCATGTGGAATGCATGACAAGAAAACTCAATTTAACACCTTCTTTGACTAAATTATAAATATGCGGGGCACTATAGAAATAATACTCTATGATAGAGAAATATCACTGGTCAGGAGTTGGAGTAAAAGGATTTTGTTGTGTTAGGAAGACACAAATTATTCATTAAAAACTTGGACTATTAGAGAATTGAGACTCAAATTATATGCTTCTTCTTCATATTCATCCCTACCCCACAAAAAAGAAGCTAACAGGCTACTTCATATTAATCCATATGCTTCTGACTCACTGTCTGCTTTCCTCACATCTATATACCCCACTATATTCGCGCTAAAATTTCTCACAAAATGATTCAACAGCTCAAATATATGGTGACCTTTGACTAGGAATAACACGGAAAGCATATCTTCAATGAAGATTTTGCTGTAGCTATCAGCCTACAAAAACATAACATAAATAACACTCAACCCCTTCCCCAGTCCAAATGCTACACAGCACGCATTTTCCAATACAATATTTGATTTGGCATTGCTAGTGTAGCAGGTCTGAATTTCTTACTACACTGGCTCTTGTAACTGTGATATTGTGTTCTTAAAGCAAGAAGTGCCATATAATTCCATAACATCTTCTAGCATCAATTATTTTTCTCTAACACATTTGTCTAGTCATTGCAATCATGCCAACTATGGTTTGGAATTGCCTCAATGATTAAAAACATTTCAACTTGCATCACCATGAACACATTATATTGAATCTCATTCATATATTTAATGCTCAAATTGTATCATGCAAGCAAACCATAACTTTGAAAACTAATAAAATTTCTACCTTCCTGAATCAATATTGCATTTAGAATCTCTTATTCTAAAACTGAAGTTGCATCCTAATGCACGAAAGATTACAATAAAATGCAACTTAATCTTCTAATGAAATAATAAATTCACCTGCATCAATCTATTTTATTGGGGGAGGGTGCATCTTGATACATCTCCAAAGCAATATAAATATATAAACAGAGATGGGAAAACTTACAGTTCTACCATCTATGACATGCTTTTCCATAACAACTTGCTCAGCAACAGAAGGATCAGCAAAAACAATGAATCCGAAACCACGGGCACGCCCGGTGTTGCGATCCTTCATTATCACAGCTTCTACTACATCTCCAAAATTCTGGAAATATTGTCTGAGTCGGTCTTCATTTGTGTCCCAGGAAATCCCGCCAATGAAAAGTTTGCCAGGGTCCATTTCCATTCTGCACTTCCCCTCCCTCCAATCAATTCTATTTCTAACCATAAGTTACATAAAAAAATGAATCTTAAAAATGCATAGTTCTTCTCCAACAACGATTGAAAGTATACCAAACGTAGAAACAACAAACAAACAAACAAACAAACAAACAAACAAATATATATATATATATATATATATATATATATATATATATATATATATATATATATGATCCAGTCAGTAACTCTTATAATCTCTGTATAAAAACAAAACCTCTATTGGTTTCCCAACTGGTGAGAGAATGTAAAATTCAATGAAACAACAAGCATCAAACACGTAACATAGTAATGCTGATTGAACCACGGAGATATAAAACATGCAGAAAACTAAATCTACCTTTTTCAGATAATTTTACAAAAAAAACGAGGATGTTCTAGACGTCAGATAAGAGACAATTGTAATAGGATGGGAGCTTTCATGAATCCAAAGAGGATCAACCCGTAATCCAAAATTGCAAAAAGCATCCAACTTCAACAAGGAAAGAGTTCAACACCAAAGTCCAAAAACCATGTGAGATGAAAAGCAAAGCATTAGGAGAGAAAGCTTACCAAATGAAGACAACCCAGATGAGAAATAGATGAAATCTAAGATCAGAAAGAAGACATAATAAGCAGAGAGAGGGCGAGAGGCCCTCTTTTTTCCTTTGTTTCTTTTGTTTTACAATTACGGTTGATTCAAGCAGATAAATATATATATATATATATATATATATAATGAACGAAAGCTCTGTATCACACAGCTCAAAAGCAACAGATATGTATGGGGAAAAAAAAAAGAATTTGGATCAGGATATATATTTATATATTATAATTATCTATAGATTTTTATATTTATTTAGAGAGAGAGAGAGAGAGAGAGATTTATCTGTCTATCCTCTTTGTAAGAAAGTTACACAAAGGGAGAGAAGACGGTGACTGTCCATTGGCCATTTCCCAAGTTTGTTTTTTTATTTCAGACAGAAAAAATATAAAAAAGAAAAAAGAAAAATTGTTTTACCCTTTTCTTTCTTTTTAAGAAAAAGATTGTCTTGAACACCCTATTATTTTGGGATAATTCTCCGATGGCTTTAGTGAATATAAAGTGACTGGATGTAAAATTTGATCTCGCGGGAGAACACCATTATAATATTTTGTGCATTATGTTCTCGCGGGAGAACTTAGTGAACTGGACCATCCGGTCACTTTATTTTCATTTTTTCCTTCTCCAATACCCATTGAACAAAAAATAAAAATAAAAAAACAATATAAATACATTCTTGGGAGCTTCTTGTTAATGTGAAGTTCCTTGCTATATTGTCGAATTCCAAATAGTATCTGCTTCAAATGATTTATTATATAGGCTTAGCAATAATTTAGTGTCCAGTCAAAAAAAAATAAAAAAAGTCAGCGTTTAATAGTTTGTTTTAAATCTCTATTACTTAATGCAAATGAGGTATACAGAGATTCTGTTACCTTTGCTTGAGGTCAAAGAAACCAAAAATTAGATGAACTAGACGATGGTGATATGATGTAATAATATAATGGACAATAAGATTATGATAAATTGGGTTATTTTGGGAATGTCATGAATTTCGAGGTGAACCGGCAAAATCAAGCGGCTAGCTAGGTGGAATGGGCACAAATATTAATATAAAAATGAGTGGTTGCTATACAAAAACACCTTTATATCAACTTTTAAATAAAAAAAAAAAAAATAAGTAGGGTTGTGACTTGTGTGCGAATGACAGAAAGGATTGCTTGTGCACCCACTCATCCGAAGAATAACAACAGGTAGATGGAGCAAAAACATATATGTGCATACATAATGCATTCATTAGCATAACCTTATCGCTTTACAATGTGATCACCACATCATCTGATATTATCTTTCTCGTTTTTGTTTATTCACTTTATTTTATTTTATTTTCCAGTGTCAATAGAGTTAATTTGTCTCTGATTTTTAATTTATCCATCATTAATCTCGTAACAAATTAAAGATAAGAATTCTTAACATCGGATGCCAATCAGACAAATAAATGTGCAATGCAACTTGCGTAGATTAATATACCTTATCACTCTATCGTGATAAAATATAAAAGAGGTTTTCTTGAATGGTGGACAGAACTCATAAATTTTGAGCAATGAAGCAAAAGCAAGTACGATATCTACCCGTTGATATCAGAAAAAAATAATATGACAAAATTAACTCATTTATCTATAGTATAGGGCAATTCTTACCTTAAAAATAAAAATAAAAATTCTCAAGGGCAATGAGGGCTGAAATGCTCAATTATTATTATGGTAAGAAAAAAATTTAATCGTGGGAGAGTTTTGTCATGTTCTTCCCCACTCGAGCGGATTTATTAATTAATCAATGAATAAGTGAAAATTTAAAAATAAAATAAAGCTGGGTAGTTCTCCTAATTATGGTAATAATATAGCGAGAATTTTCTATTTCGACACTTGTTTTATTTCTTTTAACTAAAGGTGTAGATGAGTGAGCGATTTATTATGTGCTTACGACCAAGGAAGCATCGACATATTATTTTGTACAAAAAATGCTTGTCGGATACTGACACGTTCTGACTTACCATCAATATGCTCTGACATGTTCCGACACGCGCTCAACGTTAATGCAGATTCAATTTTTATTTTATTTTATTTTTTTAACTAAACATGAAAAATTAATTTATAAATCAAATATTTTCTGTTATGGAATTTGACATGGAAAATTAATAAGGAATGAAAAATTAATTTTGTTTTATGTTTATGTTATGAAATTTGAATATTTGATTGGTTGTATGAATTATTATAAGCTGCTATATGTATTAAATGTAAACTATATTATATATATATATATTAAAAATATTATTTAATATCAAAATATATTTTAACGTGTCAAAATTTAATATTTTTTAAAATTAACGTGTCGAAGTATCGTGTCGTGTTCCGTGACAATCTCAGTGCAACATTGCTTAGGACTTGGCCTATATCAAGTCAGGTCTGACTTAATATATTCAATTGAACAGATCATGCTCAATTTTTTTAAAAAACTTGTTTAAAAAATAAGGTACGGACCTACTTTTCCAAGATTTAACCTCTAAGTTTACATGCCAACCAATATCGTACTATTTATTTTAATTAAAATAAAAGAACAAAAATATTTTAATTAATAAAATAGTATTAATTTATTTGTTTTTTCTAATTCTCAATAGATATTGAAAACTTGATGGACTTATACAGGCTAATAAGTCTAGGTTAGATCTTTTGATTTTTTAATATAGATCAAGTCAAATTTATAATTTAGCTTATACTAGTGGAACTAAAAATATTTATCATGAATCTAATTTATTTAGACTAAAATTACTCAACCTATTTACATTCTACTTTTAACCGTTTATGTTTAAAAATTGAACAATTATTATAAAAAGAACAAATTAACCAAGGACAAACCAAAACAATCTGCTAAATGGAAGGAATTGAAGGATTTGGTGAAATTTTAGTAATTAATGATGAATGAGGTTCGGCGCAATTTTATGACTTAAATTAAATAAAGGAGAAAAAAGGGAGGGAGAGAATAGGTTAGACTTTAGACTTCTACGAATTGCGAAAGGGTAAGTCTTAATTTCATGGTAGACCTCATCCGTTTTGCCTTGTAAAAATGGGCTATATATTTTGACTTTCTAGTTCGTCCGTTATTTTTTTAAGCCAAAGAAACGAAGGAAAACACCTCTTTTGATTTATTTTACAAGTATAAAAGAACAAGTTTTCCTCCCAAAAAGGAAATTGAAAAACTCACTACTTAAATTAACCAAACAATGGATGATTCAGGCTCGACGATTGAAATCGTATCATTAGTATTTTCTAGAATGATTAGCAGAGAATATAATAAATATGAAAATAAATTTTAGTGTTAAATTTTCATGACACTGTCATATGAAAATTTTGTTCATAAATGTTTACAAATTTTAACAGAATCTTTTCGATTTTATGTTTATTAAAAAAATTAATTACTTTTGTCATGTGAAAAAAATGTAACGTGAGAAGTTTCATTTCCAAATATAAGGATTGAGTTTATTTTATCAGGGCAGCTTTCCTACCTAACACAGTACCAACCGCCTGCAATTTTTCAACTTTGATGTCCTAGGATATATTTATCTACGTTAGATGAAATAATTATCTCATACAAATAAAATAATAAAATCCATTATTTTTTTTAAAAAGAAAAAAAAAATGAATCTTACTATTTTGTATCTGTTACATGAGATAATTATTTCATATAACATAAGATGATTATTTCACATAATTTTAACACCTCTATTGGTTTATTGTACTGGCAATTCTTTTTGCCTATCGTTTTGGTAAGGACTAAGGAGGGTGGAGAAGGTTGTTCAATGGTGATTGGTGACGGGTGAGAGATGCAGTAAAGTTGTATACTGATGTTATAATCTTAATATTTACACTTTACCACCAGAAGGGGACATGTTCCTTTCAAGCCAAAATATGAAGGGAAGTTATTACAAAAAAAAAAAAAAAAAATATGAAGGGAAGAAAACAAAGACACATTTGATACGCCAAAATTGATGTTGAAGTATATTCCAAATGAAGCTTACCTCGTGAATAGATAAAATTGCCTTGGTAAAATGGGTGGTTGCTAAGGTTTGGAATTAATTTTGCATTATTGGTTTCTTTTTCCAGCTATAGAGATTTTTGTGTAATTGACTCCCACGTGCCGGGTAATAATGTAGGATGGGGTCAAATGTCTTCTTGATTCCAAGCTTTGTGATGAGGTGGATGCTTAGTCTTGGCATATGAATGTTAACCAAATTAAATAGCAATAACTAAAATGGTACTTAGAGATATATTATAATATGGGATAAATGATTGGAAACAGCCATAAGCCAACTATGATGACAATCCATCCCATTAACACCAATGCTAGAAGTTGGAGATAACGTTGTGCATAGCAGAAATGGTGTTATTAAAATAAGTATATGGTCCATTTCATTTTTTTATTTTTTTATTTTCAATTTATTATCTTTCTCTCTCCATTTATTTAGCATATATTACTTACCATATTTCTCGAGCTCCCAATTATATAGATGAATTATGATTTAGTTAGTTTCCCTATTTGATATTTAAATCATGACAACGGTATATTTTATTGTAAATCTTTGTTAAAGTTGATGATTTGTCGTGGTATTGGAATGGAGATAACCTTCTTTCATCCTAAAATTTTTATTTATAAAAAACACAATAATGATAAATTTTACTTTTAATTTAGCATTATTATTTTTTACTGGCTATAATTTTTTTTTTAAATTAAGATAATATTTGAATAAACTTATTTATATATAAACAAACACCCACATATTACCTAATGAGAAATAGTTTTGCAAGCAATAAACTATATGATAAAATTGTACATTATACCTTCTAGATCTTCTTCTTTTCTTACCTTTTTCTGAAAAATATTAAAATAGGCCAGTCATTAACTAAATGTTATTTTCTTTTCCTTCTTCCCATTCATTTTTAGATTATACATTTTTTATTCTTGATTTTGATATTTACAAGAAATTTTTAAGTATTTTATTAATGATTAATTATATTTAATTAACGGAAATACACTTCTCCATCAACATGAGAAGTGTATTCTCATGTCACTCACCCATCAATTTTTGTGTCTGACTAAAATGTGAGTCCTACCATTTCTTGTCTTTATAGGAATCTTTGTACTTTTCCACGGTAGAAGAAATATAAAACCTTTAAATATTTAGAAGAAATTACATTGAACCCTACTAAAATTTGCTGCAATTACACCTGACGCACCCTTGTTGTTTCAAAAATCGTAACAGCTTCCATAGAGATTTATGTAATAATTACACAAACCCTTTTTTTTTTTTGTCATCAAGCTATTATCTACATAAAGTGATAAATAGCACATGCATTGCATGTTCTTCTTAATGGCCAGCTTGTTATTTCTTGAACTCCTATTATGCACAATGAACGCTGTTGTAAAGAAGTGCAAGAAATGAGCACAAGTAGCTCAAGGCAAAAGAATGATTGAGAAAGAGTTGTACAAGCTAAAAAAGCAAATGATAATGATTCAAGCCACAATTGATCATTAAAGTTGCTGGTCTTGCCTTCTTTTGTTGTTAGTGTGGTGTTCGCTTTTCTGCCTATTTTTGCAATTGTACTTAACTAAAGCTTCTTAAGTTTGAGATCACTTTTTTTTTTTATAGAGCTTTGCTTTTAAGTTTAAGCTCAATAATTGATGATATGTAAAGAACCATTCTATTTTTATCCTTTGTTTATATATTGATATGGTTCTATTATTTGGTATTGCTATGTATTGTGTTGCGTGGGATAAATTCCTAACATGTTCAATAATATCATACTCTAATTCTTAATAACCATTATATAAAATGCGAAGATTGTAATAAAAATTGGAAAGTTAAAAATGCCATCGAAAAAATATAACCAAAAATTCTAAACCAGAAATGCAAATAAAAAAATAAACTAATTTTAAAAATATCATCACTCATTTGAATGAGATTAATTTATGTAGAAATCAAATTAGAAATCTTTTAAATTTATCGATACACTCTTTAGATACAAAGCAATCCTCAATTAGAGGAATCAAATATCATCGCTTTTTTTTTTTTATATAAATTATACTATATCTGGTCAAAATATTTTACTGATAAGATATATTATAATTTATAAATAAAAATAAATATATTTTTTAAGCCGGATATTTTTTGACATAACAACTATGTTGCACCGACACCGATACCGACACTGGATACGACACAACATTTTGACACGTTAATTCTAAAAAATATTAGATTTCGACACGTTAGGACACGTTTTGATATTAAATATTATTTTTAATTTATGTAGTATATATTATATTTAATATTCAATAGTTTAATAAAAAATGAAGCTAAACTTATATTACCTATCAATTTTACAAAGATACAGCTATAGCATCATCATTAGCCGGAATCGAAATATCTGCGAGATCGGGGTCACAATTTGTATCGATTAAACAAATCGTTGGAATTCCCAAAGTGATACATTGGAACCAAGCCAATTTTGGGGCAGCTTTGTGATAATGAAACCAACCAGCAAAAAGCATTAAGACTGCAAAAACTAACGCACCGATTGCGGTACAATGGAGTTGTAATTCACTAGTTATTCCAGATGCTCTCCAAATCTGAAAAAAACCGGAAGTTATTTGTATTCCTCAGAAACCCCTAAGATATTCTAAATATTTATATTAAATTTAATAATATGGTAATCGTAATTAAATGAATCTAATAGTTTGAACTAAAAACACAACATAATACAATATTTGATCTCTTTTTTGAATCTATGCAACATATATTGAAGTGTCGAAAAGTGTAAAAATATCGAAAAGTGTCATAAAATATCAAACACGACACATCAGAATTTTTGAAGCGTCGCTAACGTAAGAATCAATTTAACGCTGATAAACGTTGTTGGTCAATATGTAAGGTGTGCAAGTAGCAAATATACTTACCAGTTACCACAAAATTGGATAAAGAAAAAAAGGAACTATTATATGCTTCAACTAATGCCTGATAATTTTTTACCTTTAGCAGCGTCACCCAAATTTTCCCTCCAAGTCCAAGTGAAACCCTCGCAAAATTGCATAAATGCCCAAATTTCTGTCCCTGAAAAGGTGCAAAACCCTTAAACCCCTATCCCTGCAAACATTCATAGTTATTTTTTCTACTTGTAAAATGAAGTTCATCTTAAACCCAAAGTTTTCAGCTTTATCTCCCAATCTTCCAAAAACCTCACCTTTTGCTATGTTTTCTCGGCCTTCCGAATCTATGATCCGTTTCTGCAGCAACCCTGTTAGAATTCCCAATTATCTTCGCCTTAAGCGAACACCCTTTTCATCCAATAACTTTATTTGCTGTTGCACAACTCAAAATCGAAGCTTGCAAACGGAGGCATCTCGTTCTCCATCGGGTGAGATTCACGTCATAGTGGGCCCCATGTTCGCCGGAAAAACCACCTCACTCCTTCGTCGGATTCAATCGGAGACCACCAACGGAAGGTGAACTCATCTCCTCTTCTTATCTTTAATTTCATGATTCTAAATCCCTTTTAGTTAACAAGGCTTTTTATTTATTTATTTACTCATTTATTTTTGTTTTGTTTATCTTCAAGTGTGAAATTTCTCTGCTTGAATAAATTGACTGTTGAGTGTAATTTGTCATGGTTATGTGCTTGAAAATTAGAAATTACCAGTGGTGCAAAAGCATTGATGTTTTGTACTTTGATTCTGCATGGAAAAGACTTTTGCTTTGGAATGCCATGGTTGTAATCTTCACTGGTAAGGTATTCTCAGCTTTCAGGTCAAGCCTTGCAAAAATGACCCTGACTTGGATAAAGTCTTGAGAGGTCTGTGTATATCTGGAAGGTTGGCTGAGGCAATCGGGCTCTTGTGCCGCACAGGATTGCCGGTGCACCCAAGAACCTATTCCTTGATGCTTCAGGAATGTATATTCTGGAAACAGTATAAGAGGGGCAGAAGAATCCATGCACACATGATTGTTGTTGGATATGTTCCCAATGAATATTTGAAGACCAAATTGTTAATATTATATGCAAAATCTGGATGTCTTGAAACTGCCCACTTCCTATTTAATAACTTGGTCGAGAAGGGCTTAATTTCATGGAATGCAATCATTGCTGGCTATGTTCAAAAGGGCCTTGAAGGAGTCGGATTGAACCTTTTTTATGGGATGAGACAGGCTGGTTTGAGACCAGATCAGTATACCTTTGCATCAGTGTTCAGAGCCTGTGCAACTTTGGCAGCTTTAGAACCTGGTAAGCTAGCCCATGGTGTAATGATTAAGTGTCAAATTAAGGACAACGTTGTAGTCAACAGTGCCCTAATAGACATGTATTTTAAATGCAGTTGTATTTGTGATGGGCGGCAGCTGTTTGATAAATGTTTGAGTAGAAATACTATTACTTGGACTACTCTAATATCTGGATATGGTCAGCATGGAAGAGTTGTGGAGGTTTTAGAATCATTTCATAGAATGATAGCTGAAGCTTTTAGACCAAATTATGTTACTTTTCTTGCAGTTTTGGTTGCTTGTAGCCATGGGGGTTTGGTTGATGAAGGGCATAAATATTTTCAATCGATGATAAGAGAGTATGAAATTATGCCACAAGGAAAACATTATGCAGCAATGGTTGACCTTTTGGGGCGTGCTGGGATGTTAAAAGAGGCATATGAATTTATTCTGAAGTCACCTTATGAAGAGCACTCAGTGGTATGGGGGGCCTTGCTTGGGGCTTGTAAGATTCATGGTGACGTAGACTTGTTAAAAATTGCATCTAAGAAATATTTTGAATTTGAACATGTAAATGCTGGAAAGTATGTTGTCTTGGCAAATGCTTATGCCTCTTCTGGGTTGTGGGATGATGTTGAGGAGGTTAGGGCTACATTGAGGGAATCGGGGATGACAAAGGAGCCTGGTTATAGCAGGATTGAGGTACAAAAGGAGGTTTCTTTCTTCTTTAAAGGTGATAAATCTCACCGACAAGCTGATGAGATTTATCAGGTAATTAGAGAGATTACCTCGATTTTAAAGGATGCGGGCTATATTCCTGATTTTAGTGGAAACTGATAAAATACATGCCTTTTGCGATGGAAAGCGTGGGATATAAAGATTCCGCTGCTTAAAATTTTGGTTGCAGTGCATACAATTTGGATTGTCCTTGATGAATTAGACATGATGTTTTACAAATTTAAAAAATGTTCTACTTTGCAATTAAAGCTGCTGAATTACAGGTTCTAGATTTGAAGTGGAACAGTGAAATATGTGGGACACTGTGCTGTACTAGTATGTACATTTTTCATTTACATGGGAATAATGTGCCTTTGATGTTAGCATTTGGCGAGCTGATGGGTGATAGCCAACTAGTGAGTTTTTTTCTTTCTGGAAATTAGTATACATAAATTGACATAAAGATCTGGAGTATACATGATAGTCAGTATGATCCAGCTCTCTTATGCTCAGAATTGTTCTTGATATTTATTGGATCACAATAAGTCTATACTCTCTTACAAACATACCTAGCTGACATATGTTCTGTTTTTAGCTAGCTGATTTTCTTGCTTAATGTTCAAATGCTGGTTCCTTTGCATGTTATTAAGCAAACATTATGCCTCTTCTGATGCCGTTGCAGAGTCAGTTGAATCATATGCTTAAATTGATACATGTTTTAAACCATAGTAGTTAATTGTGCCGCAATAGCGCCGTATGGGCATTGCAGTGCCTCTCCCCAAGAAACCGCGCCGCTCCGTACCGGAACGCAGTAGCGGCCATTGCGATCGCATTTGCGGCCAAATTGCAGCCATATTGCTGTCATAAGGCAAAATGTCAATTTTGTCCTATATTTAAATGTGTAACAGAAAAAATTTAAGGGTTTTTTAGTCTATCCGCTCTCTCTGTCACTTCTGCTATCTCTGCCTTTAAAAAATGTTTTTTTTGTCATTATTTCTGTCATATATCTATTCCGCAACCGCAACCCGCTATAACGCTAATAGCGTTTTTCGGGGTTGGTCGCGACATGCCGCAATCCACATTTGATAACTATGTTTGAAACGAGTTCTTGGGAATCCTGTCTGTTTTTGGTTATCGCCCATGGAGAAATTTTCCAGAAATAATTCTTCAGATGGTTGTCTGTTTTCAGTCATAGATATTTGAGATGGTTTATAATTCTTCAGAAATAATTTACTTTGTTTTTCTTTTTTTCATAAAACTCGTGTATTTTTATAATATCTATAAGTAAAAAGTTGGCTGTCTAAAAGGTTTTAGGTTATTCATATGTAACATATCCTTGATACATAATGAAATGTTTGCATACTTGATGAAAAAGTTCAATCTACCATTTTACATAAATGCATTTCTTTGTTTTGCTCCACAAATGTTTGCATTTATTCATATGCTCCGCAATTTTATTTTTTTCAGTTTTCCCTTGTTTAACTATGATTTTTATCTAAATTTTGGCTGTTGTAGAAGATTTTCTGTACCCTAAAAAGAAAGAAAGAAAGAAAAAGAAAACAACGATATAGCAATTCCCTGATGGAAGCAAGTAGTTTTAATTTTTGGTAACACTTAGAGGTGCCCTTTGGGTATAAGACTACTCTCTCTTAGAGCATTGGAGTGTTGGCTTGGCCCTAACCATAAGGTGCTTCCAGTGGGTTTTAAACTCCTGTACTGTATGTAAAGTTTGCCCACGTGGAGCTCATTTTTCCAATTGAGCCACACCTAGTGATTAGAAACAGGTGGTTTTATCTTTTACGAAAAAAAGGAAACGCATTTCTGGATGATAATACTGATAGAATGATTTAAGTGTTCTTTATGGGTGTATCCTATATTTTTTTGGATCTTATGTTGGTGTGATCACTCTGTGGATGTATAGCAATTTCCTGATTGTGGTTTATCTTTTAGGAAAGTTACTAGATTATTAGCTATAGCCTGATTTATGTGGTACATGATTTACATTTTATTGATGCAGAAATGTGGCAATAATTAAATCAAGCAAGGATACTAGATATGGATTAGATTCAATTGTTACACATGATGGTGAGAAATTACCATGTTGGGCACTGACAAACTTATCATCATTCAAGCAGAAGTTTGGAGTTCATGCATATGAGCAGGTATCATATTTGAAGTTTTGTAATTTCTTTTAATTATTTATACTGCTGAAAATTCAGACTGATTGACCATCTTGCCCCGTTTTAATAAAAAAAATTATCACTTTATCCCTCTTTTCGAACTGTAAACCAATTTATCCCTTTTCTCAAGCTATATACCAATTTGTCCTTGTTTGATCAAAGTTTGACTACCTGAATAAATCAGGTAAATGATTTACCAAAGACTAAGGTTTGGTCAAACAGAGACAGATTGATATGTAGTTTGAGAAACTAGACAGAGTGGTAAATTGATTTTAAAAGAGGGGTAACATAGTCAATCAGCCGAAAATTATGTGTACATGCATTAGAATTAGCTACTCTGTTAGAAATTCTTTGTCAGTCTGATTTGTATATTTTTTCTTTTTAAATAGTTTTACTCCAAAATTAATTTATATGATTGGCTTGTGTAATGCGTGGCTGTTGATAATTTTGTTTTTCCATCCTCTTCCAAGGCTTACCAGTTTACTGCCAGGATTTTGTTTGACTCTCACAACTGATAAATGATGACAGCTTGACGTGATTGGTATTGATGAAGCTCAGTTCTTTGAAGATCTTTATGACTTCTGCCGTGAAGCTGCTGATCATGATGGAAAAACAGTAATAGTTGCAGGACTAGATGGTAACTATTTGAGGTATTATTTCTTATAATTTGAGGTTTGAAAATTTCCTTTTGTTTTAATAGGGCTGTGACAAATTAGTATCAGTTTGTTTGCCTTTAAGAGTTATATCATAAGTTTGAAACTTCCATGTTGAATTTCATCATTAATTGACAGTAACACACCCTGCAAATCAGTAAGCCAGGTGCCAACTGACAAGAACCCCATAAAGTGAATATTAATTCTTTCCAGGCCATCCAAATTGTCTATTTGATAATGGTCATGGTTATAAGTTCCTTTAGAAGAAAATACACACCATAACGACCAGAATCCATACGTGACCTAAATACTTTATTGTTGAAATATATAAAATCACTCATACAACCAATGTGGGACTATATATCTCAACATTTATTTATTTCTATCAGATTTAGAGCCAGAACTAAAACCGAAAGAAAACTATGCGTGAAATGGAAAGGAAAATCATTTTTAGCATTTTAGCCACGTAACTAAGTACTGGGTAGAACGAAAGTGGCTGAGCTAAATTATTGTTGCTATACCTATATTTATAGCTCTTGGAATGTGGGGAGTAGGACTTGGCGGTGCAACTAGATTCTTGATTTCCTGTGGCTTGCTTATTTTTATTCTGGAAAAAGGATGGTGACAGCCATGTGATCACCAGACTTGATTAGAGCCAATTCCAACTTTGCAGTCAAGAACAAGCTTGAGCTGTTCAATAGATGCTCTATTTGTTTGTACCTCTATTTAGACTTCAACAAGTCCTATATTACCTGGGGTTTTATCAGTAGCTTATGGATGAAATTTACAGTATCAAGTCCATGCTGATGGTGTTTCTATTTACTGGCAGAAGGAGCTTTGGTTCTGTCCTTGATATAATTCCCCTTGCTGATTCTGTAACCAAGTTAACTGCTCGATGTGAAATTTGTGGGAAGCGTGCATTCTTTACCCTGAGGAAGACACAGGAGACGCAGGTTGAGTTGATTGGTGGAGTTGATGTCTACATGCCAGTTTGTCGGCAGCATTATGTTAGTGGACAGGTAGCCATGGAAGCAGCAAGACTTTTCCTGGAATCGCAGAAGGTTGAATGTGGCTCTCATACATAAATAGGTTCATGTTTCTTGGCAGCTGCATTGTTAGTTTTCTGCCACTTGTAAACAGCTTCGTGTTTAATCATGGCTGCCCTATCTATATATATTATAAAGAACTATAAAGTGAGTAAGATCTTTTTTCAATTATGCATGTAAATATAATTTTATTCTAAATCAAAAGCTGGTATTAAACTTGCTTCATGTGATGAAAATGGATTTCAAACAGTTCACACAAATGGTCAATGGCCTTCTTTCTCGTCATTCTTCTAAAGACAAAATCATAAAACCATTGATGTATGTTTTGTGTTAGATTGTGAGGTTGGTGCGGTATGGGACTATATACTTGTTGATTAGTCAGTCTGAATCAATATACTAATTATGTATTACAGGCTATATAACATAACAAGATGAAAATTTTCAATACAGTGTAATGATGTTTCAATGACCTTCATGATTAATCTGATTCAAATCAGTTCATGAGGCTCCAACTATTGTAAGAAAGGGCCTGTTAATTCAGCAACAGACATTCCAGTTATTTGTATAGTTAGCTTGGCATTTCGCATTAATGAGTATACTGGTAATTCTACTCTGATAATGCAGCATCTATAAATCAAAATCTTGTGGGAAAATACTAACGAGTGAAATAAATGGAAATCTGAAATGTTAGCTCAAATAATCTTGTGCACTACATAAATTAATAGACATTTGCAAGTAAAAATAACTTCAACGATTGATACATGAGGAACCTAGAACTTCAACAAATTGACTAAGTGAATGAAAATGAGTGTTTGGTAACTGATATCATCATTGGCTAAGTGTAGTTACCATATACCTATGAATGAAAATCAAACAAAACTTGCATACAAGACAGCCTCAGTTGCAGAATAAGAGCAAGGCATAGAAATGCCATTCAGTCCCGAAAGATGGTATTTGGTAACTGATATCATCATTGGCTAAGTGTTCAGAATGAAATAAAAAGTATCAGAGAAAAATTAATGAGCATATTGATTCATTGTGAATCCGCTGCTTTCTAATTTCCACGGAAAGTTTCAGAACACAGAGGCGGCGGACATATCCCCAACGTGAAAACTAGGTTTAAGGTTTCTCTCAGTTAATTTGGTATATGGGCTATAACTCTTTAGCTAAAAAAATTAGACATAATACGAGAGTTGAACAAAAGTTAGAAGAAAAAAACAAATTGCTTTCATTGAGAGTTGAACTCAAGACCTCCCGCTTACTAAACGGGTGCTCTAACCAACTGAGCTATGAAAGCTAATTGTATATTGGCGGTGCACACACATTGATAATAAATAATATCAAGTATATATTTACAAAACTTAAGTACTATACCTTTATCCCATAATAAAAAGGCTATCAATTAAAGTAAAATCAATGGTTCAAAGTTTTTTTAAAATTTAAGTGAAATGATGAATAAAAAAGTTTCATCTATGAGAAATATGTGATTAGTATTTTTTTTTAAATCATTTTTTTTATTGTATTTTGTGATTCAATAAGTAAGAGACTAATTTCATAAGATAAGATTAGACACCAATGACGAAAGTATCTTTTAATGATTTTTTTTTTCATACTTATAAACTTTAAAATTAATCTCAGGATCATATGTTTAAGGGCTTAAAGCTATTTTCATTTTAATCAATTTGATGTATCTTTAATAACTTATGACTAATAGTTAACAATTTTTTTAATTAAAATATTAATACAAAATTTACTTATATTTTATGCTTTAAATAACTAAAAACTTATTAAATATTAACTATAAATTTTTAAAGGGTATTGGTACCTTACCAAAAACACGACAATGGGACAAACTCCCATGAACATGTCATGATGGTTCTCTCAATAATTAGAGACATGTGTAAGTACAAAAGACATAATAGTTAATTTCCAATTTAGCATTCGATGCTATTTCTTAATCTTAACCATAACGAAAAGAAAAGGCAAGAACACAAAAGTCTAGACTTGTGTATATGCCAATAATATATTCTTATAAGACAAGAAACGAGTGTTGAAATTAAAAAAGATAAATGGCATTGACATAAAGTCTAGACTTATGTTTGAGTCTATAATGTACATTTGCAAATGCAAGAAACGAGTAATTAAAAAATGGTGAAGATCAAATCCGAGATACTGAGGTTCTGATACAATGTAAATAACTAATTTAACTTAAAAATTTAAGCTGATGGATGATTTTATATATCTCTATCAATCAAGATAAGAATCTAAGCTCGATTGAGGTGATACTTAGATACCATTTAAACAAAACTACACAATTCACAGTTTGTGAAGGAGCATGGTAAACAATGATAACTAAATAATTAAGTTATAATTTAAATTTAAAGGGATATGATCAAAGAAGCTAAACGTGAAAGGATTATTTATAAAAGGTAGTTAAAATGAAAGTCACTATGATTGGTACGGTAGTGAGGAATTTTGTTAGTTTGTATTAAGTAATGTGTTAATTCACACCATTGTATCAAAAAAAAAAAAAAAAAAAAGTTAAAATGATAATAGAAATCTCTAAACTTTTGTTATTCCATAAATTACAAATTCTTGTTCATACCACAAAAAGAGTAAAAGACCAGTATAACCCCTACCCTTTCACTACCCAAATCTTAACAACGCATAACAGAAAAGGAATTCTAAATATATTTAATTTTATTTAATTCATGTATATTACAAATTTTTTAGTTCTCTCTGTTGATAATCAAACAGCTAACAACAAAAAAGAATTGTCTTGTGACTCTGCAAATTGTATCGGAGGAAGGTTATACTTACAATCTTTTTTTTACAACCTCTTACAATCATATCTTAACACCGTTGATTTCCGTCAATCAACGGTTATTATTTATTGTGAATTAATAATTAATTAATGAGTTTAATTTGCAAAAATTATAACCGTTAATTGACAGAAATCAACGGTATTAAAATATGATTGTAAAAAAAAAAAGTTGTAAATATAAACTATTGTTGTGTTTGAATTCCTTAATATGCATCAAATGCAACTTAAGTAAAAAAAAATAAAAATAAAAGTTTTATTGAGAAAGAATAAAAGTTCACCAGATATGTCTCTTGGAAATCGGGTTAGGTGAAAAAACCAAGACATGAACTGTGAAAAATTCTAAAAAAAAGGTAGAAAGAAAAGAGGCTTTCATTACATGAGAAGCTTACTCTGCTATGAAGAATTCACACTTTAAGAGAGATTGCTAAAAATTTAAATATGAGTGAAAAAATATCAAATACAAAAATACAAATTGTGAAAATCATTTATAGCTTTTTTTTTTTAGTGATTATGACGGTATGGTAGAATGAGAGTGAGACTAACTTGTCTTTTTTAATGAAGATATAAGTATTAAGTTAACCACACTCATCATGTTCTTCAGTAAAAAATTACTAACTACTATCGTATATACATATAAAACTACAGGGGGAAAACGAGAGCCAAAGAAATCACTAACAGACTGAGAAATCAAAATTGAAAATTTAGCAAAAAGGTAAATAATCAAAATTTGTTTTTAAACTAACTATTTAAAAAGCTTAGAACTATTTCTCGAATATTAAAAATTTCTTTCCCAACCCAGTTCACCGAGGTGTTGAATTTGATCTTCAACAAACAATTTTGCAAGAAGCTCTTGCTACCCGCATGCTTTCTCCGTTCTCCATCCTGAGTTAGTTAAAGTAAACTAAGTAAATGTATGCTGTTAATGCAATTGCAGGACAGATATTAATAACAGAAAAAAAGAAAGAAGGAATAAGATCCATAACCAACAGGATGCAAGTATATTTGTCTAATAATATGAAAAGATGTAAATTGGCTCAATTAGTGAAATTCTTTACTGTGGACACGAGATTTGAGAACCATTCTCAACTTTATTTAAAAAAAAAAAAAAGGGGGATAAAGAAAACAGTTAAACAAGTATTTATCTAATATACTAACATGTAAAAGTGCAGTTTTAATGTTTTGGAATCAACTACAAAGCCTTCAATGTCATAATAAGAAAATGGAGATCTAATCAGCAAAAAACTTTACCATGTCAAACTAAAATTAATTCAATAAGAATATGCTGTCAACTGAGAATTGCTACCTCACCCACTCTTTCCTCAAAAGCCATGACAGGCGTTTACCTGAAAGCAAAAACAAAGTTATACAAGTAAAGGTTACTTAATCAACAAATACAATTACTTTCTCTATGTACCAATTACGTTCATAGTTAATTATGCAACTATTTTGCAATGTACCTCTGAGTGAACCATCAGCTTTCATCTCAGAAAGTTAGCTAGAGGCTATAAAGCTCTCATTACCAAGTAGTTGAATCTCTTCTGTTGGCAAATTGTGATTCTTCTGAGGTTCAATCTCTTTGGGAGGAGAATTTATTGATCGGGCAAGGCGCTTCACACAATTCAAACGCAAGGATTTTGGTGTGCTACCTGAATTATTTTTCACAACATTGAAACTAATAATTAAAGATGCCAATTATATACGGGAAATATAGTTCTTCTGTCCGCTGCAGATGGAAAAAAGTGTAGCAACATTTATTTTTATCAGGATACGCGTCCGAAGCCTGATGTATTTTTTTTTTTTAGGCCAGGATATGACCCCGTATCCTAGTGTTAATAATTTGCTGCAACTTTTCTCATGAGCAGCGAAAGGAGAAGCGACGAAACCATTATATATATATATATATATATATATATATATATATATATTTCCCACTAAAAGTTTAACCAAATAATTAACTCACCACAATCACCAACTGATACAACTTCCTTTGTAATCAACTCTGCCGCAACCTTGTGAGTACCAGCAGGGTCAACCATTGAACGTGTCAAGTTTCTTGCAAGACTTTTAATATGATTTAGACGCAACCTTCCTGGTGAATTTCCTGGTTTATTATAAGCTAGAGTTTCCAAGGGAATTGATGATGATCCTATAGGTTGCATTTCAACATTAAAATAATAATAATAATAATAATGTAACACAATGTTCCATTGATTGTGAACATAACAAGAACTCACCATCAACAACCTTAAGTCCCAAATTTAATGTTTCTTGTCCTTGGTTAAGGCCAGGAAGAGGGAAACCAATACCACGAGAGAGGACTGTGTAGTCTAGTGAGGTAGAAGAAGTGATCCCTTGAAACTCATCACTCGTACTTGCTTCACCTGCACTTGATTCTAGAGCTTGAGGTTGAGGAATATGAATGAATGGAACATGAACATTTGCAGCTCTTTGTCTTCGAAGCTGATAGTTTCTGCGGCGTCTTGCAAGATGTCTTTCTCTTTGTTCTTGAGTCATTGATTGTCTCCTCTGCCTGTCACGTATACGCCTTCTCTCCCTCTCTTGTTCCCTTTGCATTCTTCTTATCTCTGCTCTCTCTGGAAACTCTTCCATGCTCACTCTCACCCTTATAACCTCTCTTTTAAGCACCCCAACATTTTTTCATTTTTTTTTGTTTTTGTCCTTTTTTTTTTCATGAATACCATAAATGGAACAAGAATTTTGAATCAAGATAAAATTTTATATGATCCATGCAAATTCATAACATATAAAGCCTAATTCTTTAAGAAAATAGAATTCATGTAAATCTGGCATGAGTCTATCACAATCAAGTAAATTACAGATGATAATCATGATGATTTAAACTAAAACTGGTTGTATAAATTATAAATATAAGTATGAAATAACAAGGGGGTCATTCATACAAATGGAGCATTAGGATTTTTTTTACATAAAAAAAGATAATAATATAATTTAAATTTGTGTGAAGATTGGAATGGAAGACATTTTACCTGTGAGTGCAGATTTGAATACTGGGGAGCCAGAGCGAAGCAATTTGCTTGCGTACGTAAAAGGGCATTAAAAAAAGGAATGAAGCATGGGATATAAATGATTAGAAATATATATATTTTATTTTTATTTAATTAATTAATTTTGTTTTTGGCTTGAGATTTGCATGACAAGTTTCGTGGACTTCCCTTCCTTCTGCATCCCATAATAATCGTTCTCTGGAGAGTTTGCCAAATCAGTAATTGACACTTAACGATGTGGTCGCTTCTAAATCTGAATCTGAAACTACATATTACAAGGTCCAACATCCCTCATCTTAAATTCTAATCAATGTGACTATTGTTTAAAATTTACTAGCAAACCCGTTAAAAGAGAGAGAGAGAGAGATTATTTATATTCGTTTTTCCATCACAAGAAACGAATCATAACTTCCTTTACGTTTCTACATGACAAATTTTTTAACATCTGGTTTTTATTTTATTGTCTTTTTTCTCCCCGAAAGATTATTATCTTAAACAATAAAATGGAAAATGTTACACCTGCGGAAAAGTTATGCAAACTTTGTTCACAACTTCAAACAATAGTACATCATACACAACTTATGATATATGAACCAATTATTCGTGAGTTTCGCATATAGGAACCCACGTGTAATTAATTACATTTATTATTTTTTTAAAGTCTGACTCGGTTTCCTACACGACTATGTTAATGACAATTTACGCTGTTCAAGTTTTATTCAACATTTGGGCCGGATCAACGTGCCCATTAATATTATATAGCATGCTTTCTTACTTAAAAAACAACTATGCAATAAAAAATATATAATAGTCCATTAATTTAGTATACCACTGCATGCGCGGGATGAGTTTATCTCTTATTATATACTTATTTTAAAAATACAATTCAGAAATATTCACAAATAGATGAGTGGAGTGAAAATTTGGATTGTGATCCTCTTGTTTGGAGACGTGTGAAGACCAGTCACAAATAGAAAGGATAATAGTCGACCAAAACCTTGATCTCCATGTCCCTTACATTAGAAGCTTGCGCTTCTAAGGTGAAAGTAAATGGGGAATTAAAAAAAAAGGGAAGGTAAAAACGATTTACACTAGTCAACAAAATGAGTGACAAGCTCATCTCAAAGTAATTACTATATTAAACTCTAAAGAATGAAAAAGAGGGCACGTAAATAACCATGACTGAGGTTTCTTTTCTATTTCATTCTAGTATTTACATGTACAGCAAGTTTAGAGAGATTCAGCAGTATAACCCACAAAAGGAAAAGGATACACGTTTGGAACAGAGCTAAATCTCAAGGTGTCCTCTTGAGAAACTGTGAATAAGACTGATTATGGCTAAAGGTCAAAAAAAAAAAAAAAAAAGAGAAGGGAGAAGGAACAAGGAACAAGGAACAACGAGGAAAATGTACATAAACCTATGACAGTGAGTCAGTAACATCTCCAGGCACAAGAGGTGCACATAGCTCTATTCTTCCAGAATAGATAGAGAGCACCATCTGTGTATTCAAGCCTATAATTTTCATTGAATTCATTCAAGAGATTTGTGACTGCAGCCGTAGCTGAGGAACTCAAAGGGCATGGTGCAAATCCGGCCATAGAAAATCTAGACCTCCATTTTCCTAAGAGTTCATGCCTTTCCACCCTCTCAGCCCCCTCACAAGCTATCATGTTGACAATGTCACGAGCCAAACAGTGCTGTTCTGCATTAATCCTTTGCTTATCGTCTCTGAGGAGGGCCACGTCTACTGATTCAAACATAGCAGTGTAATAATTCAAGGTCTCGACAAACCTTTGGAAAAAGGGAGAAGTGTTTGTGTTGGATTCTTGCTCAACAAGGGTCACAACCTTGGGCGACAAGCTCTTTACCAATCTCAATAGCCTGTCTCTGTGGTTCTCTGTGCTCACACTCTCATCTGGCATGTGGTGCAAAACAAAAGGGAAATTCACAGCTATAGCTTCCCCAGGTCGAACTACAAGGTTTTCTAGTTTAACATCACAGCCAGACATGGCAGCATTATGGAACTCAAATGGCACCCCACAAGTTTTTGCATAATCTGAGAGCCGTTTTCCTACAATATCAAGTCCTCCATCCCGAGCATGAAATGATTGGGAATCATCAACACCGGTTACGCGAAGGAATGGAGGGCCACCAGGACGACATGCAAGAGCCTGGATAAGTAACAACCACTGTGTGCCCTGTGTGATTTGGAAGTCAATTATATGAATTCTGGATTCATTTTGCATTGCTTCTCCAATGACAACATTTGCTGATATGTATGCAAACTTCCAATATGGGCAAACCTGATACAGGATGTGCATGTAACTCATCAGATCTTTGCTTAATGGTTGTTCACACTTCAAGGCTTTGTAGATTACACTCCCTGATGATTCAAATCTTGCTCTTAGACCCTCCAACAAGTAAGCACCCAACCTCTGCATTGGATCCCCAGCAACTGATACCATCTTTCCCAAAACATTATCCATCAAGCCTAGTGCTGTTTGAATATCATTATCAGACACAGCTTGTGCACATCGAATGAGGACTTCTCTCAAGTCTAACTTCGGGATCATTTTTGCAATCTGAGCCCAATTATATTGAGCAATTGGAGGTGATTCTTGGAGGCCACCCTCGAAGAAGCAGTGACAACTGTCAACAATTTCTGACTCAGGCCCCAACAATGAAGCCTCCAGTTCTCTAAGTTTGTGTTTCAATTCATAGCTATCATCAGCACTAGAGTGTACACTTATTGGTGATCCATAGGTGTTGTCTGATGACTGGTGCTGATCTGAATGGTGTGACTGAGAAGCTTGTGAAGAAAAAGGACTCTTATTGGATGATACACTAGCATAGGAGGGAGAATCACAACCTATGTGACCAGTGGTTGCTGGGTATGATTCCAGGGTAAAGTATTGCTCCTTGCAGGTTTCAAAAGAAACAGTGGTTCCCTGGCTGCTGCTATCATGGATATCATGGCATGAATTGCTTTGTAATATTTGGTAATGAGTGTAGGGATCAATGTCTTGCACAGGCTGCTGGTATAAATGGATACCAGCCGAAGATGGGTGTTTCTGGGATGTTTGCATGTAGGAAGAAATTATTTACTCAGAGGAGAGAAATTGATCACAATAACGAGTAGTCAAACTTTGTAATTGTAAAAATGCTTCCCAATTATTTGAGTTCACCCATTTCTTAAATGCATAAAGCTCAATAATACCGTTTTGCTGGATGGTTTGCCTCCACTTTGATAAGCTGCTAAATGCTTTAAATATCAGCAAAAGTTACTGTTAACTACCGTTCAAGAATGTATTGAACAGCCACAATCTGCATAATATAAGATAAATTATTAGTGCAGCTTCAATGTTGGTTAAACAAAGCAAAATCTGATAAAATGAAGAAGGACTAAAGAAAAGCAAATTTAAACTTGGAAATTTGATGAGAATTCATACAAAAATTTCAGGTCATTGAGGAGGTTCCTTGTGAATGTTTCTACTTAAAGAAAAGAACTAAAAACATACTAGGATCCACCAACAGCAACCCTCAAGGCTGAATGAGCACACTAAAAATGAAAGGAAGCAAGGACTTCATTACTATGGCAGACAATACAACATTTAAGTTTAAATCCTCTTTAGTCTTTTCAAACTCAAATAAGAAAATAAGGATCTGTTTGTTTGTCATGAATCATGATATACAGTACAACGTAACAGAGCAATTACAGCATGCAACATATCTCAGAACATCTAGAGGTACAAAAAAAATGAGAAGACTTATCTTGGATCTATCTTAGAAGTTCTCTACCACAAAGAAAATGAAGAATCTCATTCAGCTGCTCTAGGAATTAAGAGATGCAAACTCAATGGGAGCCATATTCAGAAAGGTGCAAAAGAAAGGGAAAGAGAATGGCATACAGATGCACACTACAACTAGGATTTCTTTCTAGGAGCAGGAAGATGATGTTGTCACAACAACTTGAATGACCAATCAAGGAGACAAAAATCAAATCCCCAATATCTTATAGATTTAAATCAGAAAACACCTTCCCAAAAAACTATCCACTAGTAAAACTAACAATAGTAAGTGTGATGAGAGATCAGAAAAGAACAAAAGGCAATCAAAAGCACAGAGAACAAAGCAAGGAGCAAAAACAAGTCTGTATTCTTTAGTCCTGAGAAATAACTTTTGAACATATAGGCTTAGCACGTAATTAACTAACTTCACAGCAGCACCCACAAAATTGAAAGCCTTTGTTTCATCAACAAAATAACCAGGAAAAAAAAAAAGGGAGAGGAAAAGTTTTAGCTTACCTCAAAAACACAAAATAAACGAATTTGAAGTAACTGTCAAAATAAAGAGAAAGAAGTTTTTTTTTTTTTTTTTCTATTGGGTTTTTTACTCCTAATAATATCAAACCGTCAACAAAGAACACCCAAACATACATAGCAATGCTCTTAACACCAGACGTTAGAACCAAAGTGAACCCAAAAACGGTCCAAGTGCAGCCACAAACTCCATGACAAAGAAATGGAATTAAAAAAGGTTGAGAAACGGGAATCTTATCTTCAGACCCGAAATTTGTTTAGTTTTGAAAACAGAAACCAATACTTACAGTAGATTCTTATACAAACCCATATTAATTAGAATCAACCATGGAACCCAATCAAACACATCAGACAAGACAACCACGTGCCATTCAACAAAAAACCATCCCATCAACCTGAAACCTTAGATAAACAAAGTGTAAAGACATAGCATACCTTTTTTTAGGAGTCAGACACAGACTCATGAGCAAGTCTGAGGTTCAGTTATGTGTTGTGTGGCAGAGATTCTTGTAAGAAAGAGTGGTTTTGCAGAGAGAGAGAGAGAGGTATTAGTATTTAGTCGTTTGTGGAGTTCAAAATTGGTAACCAGCAAGCATTAATGTGATTTTAATTAAACATTGTATATAATATAACATATTTATAATAATTAAATGCATTGTTAGAACTGCCCTATAAATATGTGATAATTACATTATTACCCTATGTGGGACCTGCATGTAACAATCCTACTCGGTTTCGTAGATAGTAACAGCCATCAGAGAAACATGCGATTGGAAAATCAAATAAAATCGAATGTTCTTCACCGAGTAAAGTACTCTCTTACCTTACCTGCACACCAAAAATACCAAAAAAAACAAAAACAAAAACAAAAAATATATATGTTTTTCTCGTGCCTCATGCCTGCATCTGACAGCTGACTTTATAGTTTATACTTTATACCAACCCTTACTTCAGTTTGTAAATGATTATTTCAAAAGGTATTCGTAAAATAAGATTACTTATTTTAAGATGTAAGAAATAAAAACTAATTTAATTTTGAAATGAAGTTTCCACGATGCAAAACATAAATTTAGAATCAACTTAAATTTAAGTGTAATTAAATTCTTTCAATTAAAGTAAATAAGATTAATTTAAACAATTTTGACTTTTGATTATATCAAATCAAATTAATTGTAATTAAGATAGGGAAATAATACTCTCATGCCACATGAGATTACATTATTTTCCTACACAAATTCGTTTTTCGTGCCAATTAATTTTTCTTTTCTTTTTTAATATAAAATATGGGACCCACATTTAACTTCTCTCTACTTTTTTTCTCTCCTACAATCCTATAACATAAGAAAACTTAAACCCATTAAGATATCAAATGACTTACAATATATATAGTATTTAAACTTAATTGTAATTTTCTGTAAAATGTTTGATTGTTCTGAATTCCAGATCTACCTTGTCGAATTTTATGATATATTTAAGAACTGTTTATTAATTAAAATGTTACTGAGAGGAAGAGTAAGTTATTATGTTTCGAGGATCTTATATTAGTATATCTCTGCATCATTTTAAATAATAGGGAAAAATATTTGTCATTTTAAATGATATAAACTTACGTCATTTTAAGAGAGAGATAGATATATAATTTTATTTTTTTTATTAAAATTTTAAATTAAAAAAACCACTCATTTTCTCTCTCCCATGATTTTCATTTTCTCTGTCTATCTCTCCCCTAAAATGACATAACTTATGTCATTTAAAATGACAAACATCAAACCCTTAAATAGTAATATGTTTTTGCGAGTTCGAAATATTAACATTGCAAATGTTATCAATTATTTAACTTTAATGTGTTTACCACTTGAGCCGCAACATGTTAATATATTGGAGAGTCTAGAGACCTTTTTTATGATATATTTTTTTTAATATATTCACCATTTCATCGATTATCCGACTAATTCAGTTCAACCATTGTCAGATTTATTATAAATGGTAGTTTTCTCAAGATTATTTTTTTCATTCGCAAGACTTATTTTATTAGGACTTTGTGATGTGCTATATATTAATTAAGTTCCAATAGGAAAATACGTGTGATTTATCTAAAAAAAATAGGAACAAGCCTCGTAATCAGCTATTCCTAATCATTATTTAGGATTATTATTTTTTGCACTCACTTATAACTTAAATGAGTCTTTTTGTAGTTTAGATTTAATTAGTATTAATACATACAAAATCTAATTTATTTTTTATAATATTATTTAATCAATTTGGTTCAAAATATAAATCCAATCTAATTAATTACATCCAGTTTAAAATAATTTGGATTGGATCTGTTTTTCAATTTTTGTTAATTATTTTAATATATAAAATTATTAAAATATAAGATTCTAATGTTATCAAAATAAATCAAAACATAATATACATTTTAAATATAATTAAATCTAACTTAACTTTCAAATAATTTTATATGTTTAAATTCAAGAGAGAAGAAGTTTGATTTGAAGTACTATAAAAAAAAGTTTAAAAAAAAGTAGGGATAATATAATACCTCATGGTTAGGGCTGAAGGAATGTCACTCAATCATTATTAAATTAACTGTAATATTTTTCTATCCGGAAGGATATTATCAAGAGTGCTTCTATTTTTAATAGGTTATGAACTTCGTCATAGTTATATTCAATGATTCAAAGGTAATTATGAATGACACCATTTACAGTGTCGTCTTATATTCATTTGGTGTAATTTGAATCCCATGATTCCATGAAGTAAGCAAAACCAATTAAAATTCAAATAGCCTCCACTCTTGCCACAAGTGTATATATCTCACCAATAGCTGCTTAGCCTTATTCCTAACTAATGATGGGTATGTGCTCATCAAGTTTATTTTTAAACATCCAGTTAAGTTCTACAACAGTGTGATTGTTTTATGCACGATTAAGGGCTCGTTTGGATGAACTTTTTTTTCTTCAAAAGTTGCTTTTTTTTAAAAAAAAAAAAGCACTTCTCGTTTTTAGTTCGTTTGGATGTCTGCTTTTAAAAAAAGAAGAAGTCACAAAAAAAGTCAAAAACTTACTTTTTTTCAGAAGCTAAAAATTTTAACTTATAAGAAAAGCAGAAGTCAAAAGTCAAATATTTTTTTCAAAATCTAAACATTTTTATAAAAATATAATTAGCTTTAACTTTTGTAAAAAATACTTTTAAAACAAGGAAGTGATAAAAGTTACTTTTTCTAAAAACTTAAACAAACGACCTCTAAATGTCATTCAATGACTATGATGATTGTTTTGTGCATGAATAAATGCGAATCAATAACCTATCAATAATATGAAGCATAAATTTGTAAATTGACACAATAATAATTATTACACTTGAATGTAATTGTATTAGTTATGGAATGGTATCATAATCATTATTGTAACCAAACGTAATAATTTTCAAATTTGCCATTTTTGAATCGACCACTTTTCTATTGAATAAAGAAAAATTATCTTTGAACTTCTCATGAATTTTTATAATTTGGAATTATTCTAAATGCCCATCAAATATAAAATTGTCTATGAAATGATTTCAAGATGAAGATTTTTAAAAAGTGAAGATTAATTTTTACAATATTTTAAAAAGTGTGAAACACTTTTATGAATAAAACGTAAATTTGATGATTTTTCATGACTTTTAAAATAACGATTTTCTTTTGGTTTAATTGTTATATATAACAATTGAATAAATTGTTTGAATCTTCCTCATTTTTGCTGCAACTATCACATGTTTGATGAGTAGCGTTGGTCTTAAAACCGTCCAAATTTCTATTTTGTTTTCAAATTACTACAGTGCTTTAAGATATTACATTAATGGGATATATTTTTCTTATGTTGTAGGAAAAGAATTATCTTATGTTGTAGAAACAAAAGTATAAGTGGGACCCACATGTAAGAGGAGAGAGAGAGAAAAAATGGTGGGACCCAATCCTTTTTTGTGTGTAGGAGAGATGTTTATCTCATGTAAAATGAGATAAACATAACCCTACATTAATTAAGACAGTTGAATTGATTGTTTGAATCTTTATCGTTTTTGCTGCAAAATCACATGTTTGATGATTAGCGTTGGTTTTGAAACCGTCCTTAGTATATATTAAATTTTCTATTTTGTTTTCAAATTACCGTAGTGCTTTAAGTCATTACATTAATTAAATTTTGAATCTCTTTATTGCTCAACTTATTTTATAATTAGCTCAGTTTCAAATTATTATGAATGTTTATTCTATATATATTATTATTATGATGTTTTTCATATTCGGATTTATCAATACTATTATCACGGTATTTTTTCCATATTTAAATTATTTTGTCAATTTCTTGTTCTCAACTTTTAATGTTTCTCTCTACACATATTGATGATGTGGCGGAAGCCATTGTTATTACAATAACTAGAAATACAAAATTAATTGAAAGATTCGAAAGAGCTAATTTATTATTACTTAGGGCCAAGTTGGATATAATGATATCATGTTGAGACTACAAATGATGACAAAATTGAATATTTTATATTACTAGAATAGTAAGTAGGTAAGAGATGTATATTAAAAAAAATTACCTACTTTTTTTTTGTAAGCAAAATTTACTTACTTTTACTTTCACTTTGTTTTGCATTAATATTTGCATTGTTGGAGGATATACTTTGATAAATCAAAAGAATATTAATTACAATAACTTTATCATTTGGCATAATCAATTGGAATATTTCAGGTCAAATATGATGTGAAAAATTATTGCAAATTTATATGATCAATCTATTGAAGAATGAGAAGATTCTTCAATTTAATGATTTTTTTTGTGCTGCTTGTTCTTAAAATAAATTTATTACTAGACAATCACCGCGTAAAACTTTTAGAATGCATATAAGGTGATATGTGTGGGCTCATTCACCCATCAAATGGATCATTTAGAAATTATATGAATTCAGTAGAAACATATACAAGATGGTCACCTATATGTTTATTATCATCTTACAATTTGAAATTTGCGAGATTGTTTGCTCAAATGATAAGATTAAAAGCGTAATTATTGGATTATATAAAAAAGATAATTCTTCTTGATAATGTTGGTGAGTGTACATCTCAGGCTTTTAATGACTATTATATGTCAACTGGAATCATAGTTGAATAGCATGTTGCTTATGATTATACCCAAAATAATTTAGCCAAATTATTTATTAAACATCCTCAATTAATAGTTAGGCATTAATTATGAGAATAAAGCTCCAAGTTTCATCACATGGATATCATGTGTTACATGCAACGTCTCTTAGACACATCAAACCAACAAATTATTATAAATTTTGTCCATTATAATTGGCCAATGGCCAGGAGCCAAATATTTATGATCTTATAATTTTTTAATGTGAAGTTTATGTTCCAATATCTCCACCATAATGCACAAAGATGAGACCCCTAAAAAAGTTGAAAATATATGTTAGATATGAATCTCCTTATATACTATACTGAATCAAAGACTAGAGATTTAGTTATAGCAAGACCTGACAACTACCATTTTGATAAATAAATCTTTCAACATTAGGA